GTTGGAAGGACCCCTACCCAAATATATAATAACCCAAAAGAAAGCACGGAGGAGGACATAAGCCTTTGCCTCCAAGAAAACATGAAGAATGAGAGAACTCACTCTTGTACAACATGCAAGAAAGGGACCTTTTAAGCATAGAGAGGACTCCTCTCTTGCCTTACCGTTCATAGAAATAGCATGAAATATGAAAATCAATGCTATATCATCAGAACTAAACCTAGTCAAATACATAATATCCATTCTTAATACATAATATCCATTCTTAGTTCTAATTCGGAAGTGGACATAGCCCCTTTGATCATTTTTCATTAGGGGTGACAAAACTAACCCAACCACATTTGACCCGCCCAACCCGTCCAAGTTTTAATGAGTTTGGGCTAGAACAATTTTGAAAATGGGGTGTTTTGGGCTAGCCCAAGTTAACCCATCAAAAATTATCAGCCCAAATGGACCATGATGATGCTTGACTCATAGAAATGCTTTATCTTAGAGTTCTACCTTGACTCATGTGCTACTTTTCCCATGTTTGGTTGGTTTAAATATTTTTTTTATGAATTTATTTTTTCTCCAATTAGAAAAAAATGTTTTCCCGAAAATGTTTTTCTTATCAAGAGAAGGAAAAATATTTTCCAAAACTCTTTTTTTAACCTTCCAAAACAAACTGCTGTTGACAAAATAATCATCAAACATGAAAAAAAATATGAAAATAAAGAAGAAACACATTATCACAACAGAAAAAATAATAAATAAAATTTATATCAATAAAATAAAGGACGGGTACTGAGCTATTTTTTAGGTATCACAATAAAATAAAAGAAAGTACTCATTTTATTGAAATGAAAGAAAATACTTTTTCTACAACATGAAAAGAAAATATTTTTTTTGTTGAAATAAAAGAAAATACTTTTTCTACAACAAGAAAAAAAAGTACTCATTTTGTGAAAAAGAAAAATACTTTTTCTACATCATGAAAAAAAAGTACTCATTTTGTGAAAAAAAAATATTTTCTACATCATGAAAAGAAAGTACTTATTTTATTGAAATGAAAGAAAATACTTTTTCTACAACATGAAAAGAAAGTACTCATTTTGTGAAAAAGAAAATACTTTTTCTACATCATGAAAAGAAAGTACTTATTTTATTGAAATGAAAGAAAATACTTTTTCTACATCATGAAAAGAAAGTACTTATTTTATTGAAATGAAAGAAAATACTTTTTCTACATCATAAAAAGAAAATATTTATTTTGTTGAAATAAAAAAGAAAATACTCTATCTTAAACATTAAAAGAAAGTCTCTAAATGCTATTTTTATTTAGGGGTGGGGTGGGGGTTCCGGGGTAGGATGGGGGTTGGAGTGGGTGGGAAGTTCTAATTTTACTACTTTTTAATTTTTCTGATCTTTGATAGTATTATAAGATGAAGAACTATCAAATAAAATTCTATTTCCAAATTGAAGAAAGAAATCATTTGGCATGAATTGACATTTATTCCAAAACATAAGATAATTTTTATGTATGCTTGTTTAAAAGTTGAGAATATTGCAAAGATTTGGGTAAATTTGGGCGGATTGAGTTACAACCCATTGTTTAGCCCATCTTGAACCAACCCATCTTATTAACCCAAGTAAACTTTGGGCAGGGTTGGGCAATGACCCACTTAATGAGTTAGCACATCCCGATCAGCCCAAATACAGCCCAAACAACCCATATGCCACCCCTATTTTTCATTAAAGCTTTAACATTCCTGGATAATGAATTAGCTTGATTGAAAAATCTGTCATGTCTGTTATTAAGGCCCATGTTAGCAAGCGTATCAGCTACAAAGTTAGCTTCTACGTAGCAATGTCGTACCTGGCATCTACCTTGTATCAAAAGTTGTCTGATCTTCTGGATGTGTTCTCAACTGAACCTGAATCTTGTTATGTCCATTTATCATGTCAACCAGTATAAGTGAGTCAGATTCAACAATGATTCCATTGTAGCCATTGTCAAACACCACTGACCACCGCAATCCTTTAAGCCATTGTCAAAATCTCTTTGGATGGGGTTGTGTCTCTGAGTGTGTGTATCGTGGCATATGCATGCATAGGGGGCCCCACATGGGGGGTGCGGGGGTGGGGGGTTGTGGATTTCGGGTTGCTTAGATGGGCACAGCGTTTTACTAACTTAGCCTCAGGTCAAGCATATAAATGCAGATGGATTCCTTTTTTGTTCAAGTCCAAGAGAAGAGTGGAAATATATTCTTTCATGTAGACACCAGATGTAAGTGCACAACTGCAGTAGTATTTAGCTCTTATCCGTTGAACCTTCAATGAACATTAATCTAAGAAAGCCAAGGTACTTATATACGCAACCTGAATGGATATCATTAAATTTGTCAAACTTCGAGTTTCGTTTTCCTCTTTCTTTGACAACATATTGGTTTTGTGGGGCCTTGCAAGAGAGAAGGATGCTTTATGTTTCTTATGAGCTAGTGCTGCCTCTTTTAGCCCTTCAAGATACTTAACTGTGAATTTGTTAGTACTCCCTTGTAGCACTAGCAAATAACTGCTGCATATGCCTTTCTAATCCTCTTCTTCCTGGTAATTGCTGTGCGGGTTCTTCTACTGGTACTTTTTAACATTCTAACTCTTGAAAGTATTGGTATCCTCCCTTTTCTTGAATCATTACCTTTTGATGAATTCTGCCCTTTCTCAGCTGGGTTTTTGTAAGCCATGATTATCCCCTAAAAAAAATGCTAAGCTGATTAACCAGAATGTGTATGCGATGACTTTCTTGGAACCTAAGTAAAAATTCTGGAGTACGTTGTTCATGATAGAAGTAACAATTATTGGAGATTAAATTTTGTGTATTCTTCTAGTATACCAGCTTTATGCCTTTCTTGACCAGAACAGTTGCTGACATGGCTTTGGCATCTGAGTTGTTTAAGTTTATTCCTCAGAGCTCAGAAGTTATGACTTACATCCTCTAGACTTCAATGAATAATTTAGCACCTTTTACTTACGTTATGTTTACTTCCATTAGCTTGATCTTTTACTTGGCTAATCTGTAGAATTGGAGTTGTATCTGGGAAAGCTATATTTGCACAACCACTTGATGAATATTGGAAGAAGAAACTTCAGGAGGAACCAGCAGCAAAAGAAAATGATGGAAGCACCTCATAGTGTTTGATTGGGCGCCCATCTAAGCTGAACACCGTTGTATTTTTCTGTTGGCAGTTACTCTTTAGAAATGCTTTGTGCATCCACATCCACATCCATATCCAAATAGTTAATGACATCATGCTTTTGAAATTCCTCCCCTCAGTTGCTTCTACGAGACTACTCATCAAACTTATCCACTTCTTTTCTTGTCGAAATAGATATGCAAAAGCTACCAATGGGCAATACAGCTCGGGAGACATATTACATGACAATTTGGATAAATTTGTCGTTGTGTTATTTTACGTCTCTTTTATTTTCTTCCTTTTCTCTGCTCGCTTACTGCATCTGACTGATGCAGCCTGAAACTTGAAAGCCGTTCTCTTTTAGTATTTGGATGGAGAACCAAATTGATCATCTTAGAAAGCATGCTGATGACTGAAACATATTTATTCATTTTTAATTTTGAAGGATGGCACAAGAGAGCGGCTCTTTTTTTTTTTTTGTGGTTAAGGAGTTTATTGAGTTATGCACACAGGTTTGGGCCATAATCAGTCTGATCTCTATTGCGTATGGAATGAACTTACAATTCCGCAAATCACAAATCTTTAGCAATGCCACAAATGGAGTTTGCTTAAAACGGATACCCAGAGGCGGGCCCAGAATTTTTACGCGACGGAGACACAGTATTCTGCTCAACCAGTGCCCCACAAGTATTTTAATGTTCAGGGTGCTAAGTGCTTTAAATTAACCATTTTCAAAGTATATACATATACATGATTTCTGCCAAAGCTTATTTCTGCCACAGCATACGGGGTCCGGTGAAAGACATAGGTCCGCCTCTGCGGATATCTCATTCATCAATATTTCGGTTAAATGAGGCCTTCTGAAGTGTACCAATATTTTTGCTGCCTAATTTGTTGGTTTGGGTCCAATGATAAACCTGTAACTTGTAGCCTGTAGGTTTAAAACAAGGGATAATCAACTTTCTAGTGGTTCCTGTTTCTTGTGGTAATAAAATTGCTAGTGACTAAATATGCATTTTGAAAGAAATTCAGGAGCTCGTAAGATTCTTTACTGCCAATAATCTTGTTGATTTTGGCACATGCCATTAGTCACAAGCTATTCTTTGATTCATTTTTAACTTTTTAGCACTGGCTCATATATAGGAGCACCTGGCAATAGTTATTAACAAATTCAATTGTTGGCCTGAAGTGTGAGAAGAGACAAGACTTGACAATGGGCAGTGCAGATTTTAATCAGTTTATAGTCTTACAGATACCTCCACGAGCAAAAGAGCTAGTGCAGCGGTTGAGGGTTCTCGCTTATTAGCTAAGTAAAAGTTAATTCCTCTATTTTTTTAAAGCAAGGATTTCTATGATCATTAGTTTTAAGGCATAACTAAAGTAAGCTGCTCTTAAAATTTTCTTTTCTTACCTGAACCATGATCACTTCAACTGAAGGAAGATAAGGAAAAGAATCATAGCCAGGAGACGGGAGAAAAATACGGGCAAATTTACATTCACTTTGACAACTTGTATTAGTAAAATACAATCAATCAATCAAGTACAGAGCAACTACGTACAGTTACACCAACCAATATTCCCTTAACGAAAGAATGTAATAGGAAGTTTTACAAATGATAAAAGTACCTTCCCAAGATTCTATACTGAAACTTTAATTTGGAACCAAGATCCAAGGACCATTAAGTATGTGCAAACACAAAGTGAGGCAGACACTAACAGCAGTAGAAGACTTCCCACTCACATACCTATAAGCTTCAGCACTCGTATCAACAACCTCCTCCTGTATAACATCTACACTTCTTCTCAAATACTTCACCTCCTCTTGAACAACATCTATGCTTTTTCTCAAACACTCACGCAACTTTTCCAGCAGAAACTCCAGAAAAGATCTAACACTCTCAAAGGTCACCCTCCCAGTCAAATCAAGAATAAACCTCTTATTCTTTGGCGCTGCCAAAGTATAAGATACTTTATTTGTCCACCCATTGTACATGTTCTGGTCTTCATCCATAAATTGTTTGGCTTTGAAACTAAGTGGCAAAGACGAAGAATATATTTTTGAAGTGGTACCATCCATATCCATATCCATATCAGTACTTGTCAAAACTTTATGAGAAGTTTTGACAAAAGTTCCAATGGCACCACTACATATTGCCACTAACATGTCTCTCATTTTGGCTTCATGTTTGGGATTAGTCAACCCAGAAAAGATTTCATTATATGTGTTGATATTCATTGTCTTGTCAAGATAAACAGCAACAGCAGTGCTCACAAACAACTGTACGCAATTGCCTATTAATTCTCTGCACTTATCCTGGCATAGAACATCAACCCATCCTGGAACAGAATATTCAAATTCACAATCAGTACCATTGCCTTTCTTGTCCGAACAAAAAGCAAGAACCAAATTCTTGGCGAAGCTCCCAACAATTACAGAAGCAAAACCAGACCCTGCATCAGAAAACAACTTATCCAAAATATGGTCAAATGGGCCAGAATTTGCAACCCCAGAAACACCATTTTTCGCGGTTTCTTGCTGGTAACCTTTCACAACTCCCACAGTCAACGCACTTGTGACATTAACAACAGATTGTGAAAACTCATCTGACTTAGCAATCTTGGAAATCTGTTTCAAACTTCTAGGAATTTGAACAGAGTCAGATGCAATGAACTCCTTTAGATCTTTAGAGAGAATCCCAATTACATCAGCTGAATCAGACACCATTTCAGCTAAAGAAACAAAAGCACCTATAATTTTCAAAATTTTCTCCCTTTTTCTAACCATAGAAGGTGACCAATAAGCCCTATAAGCACCATAACTAGTGACACCAAGAGCTCCCAAAGCAACAACCAAGTTCCTATCTTTTCGAGTAAAATCCAAACCCTTTCGTACTAGTTTTAAATCCACATAATTCAAAGCCATATAATCACAATCTCCTAAAATCTTGGATTCTGGACTTCAATCTTTTTTAATGATCTCAACTCTCTAAAAGGGGTTTGAATATATGTTAACTTTGAAGAGATGTATACTAACCTGAAAAAGGAAAGTTTCTGTTTCTGACTTCTGACTATCTAGATTCTGGTGCAGACCGTCAGCAGCTAAGAAGGGAAAGGGGCATAGTAGAAATTATGAATGGGTAGATTGATAAGAACGACTTAAAATAAGACAGCTACCACGTCTACTCAGCTTTCAGCTTTCACGCTAGGTCGTTGCCTACATTTATTCAAAGATTTTTCTAATTCATTATATATGTTACGATAAATATTATATTATGGTGGATATCTACTCTTCCTCCATAATTTTTATGTCAAATGCTTAATGACATATTTTTTATGTTCAATGACATATTCCATAATATATTTTCTTCACTTTTCATGCCTATATAAAGGTCTTGTAATAGATAGTAAAATACACACAATTGAAGAAGAAAATTTCTTCCTTCTCTCTATCTCTATTTCTTGTTCATGTTTTACTAAATTGCTTTTATTTCATAACACGTTATCAGCACGAGTCTCTAACCAATTGTGTATATATATATATATATATATATATCTACAAAAAATTTCCTACATCCAGAAAGATTACAATTAGAAGCCATACATATCATCACATCATTAAATGCAAAGAGAAACTACATATGGTAAGTAATGAAATGTAAGAAGGTATGATTATCTTATATTTGTCATTCCTTTAAAATCTCATATGCTCACAACTTCGTACTACACTTGTATTGCATAAGCACATATTAATATTACATCTTTTATATCACATGAATGGAATAAATTTTTTGAAGTTCTATATGTGAAAATCATAGTAGCAGTTAATTGTTGATATGATGCATGTCATGGTAACCAAGGATATTTTATATAAATTGTCTTATGCATATTTATGTGTTAACTATCTTCAATCTGTCCTGCCGCTTTTAACATTTTCTTTTACTTGGATGAATATTTTTTTTTTCCTTTTGGATTTTAACACTTGCATATAGTACCAAAAAAAAAGGAATAAAAAATAAAATAAAATTGGTCATACTGATTAAAAGCATAAATCATCTTGAAGAAAACAAGAAATACTTCGCATCTTTATCTAGGTTGATTAATTACTTCTTTGAAGTTTGGAAAACAAACCAGCTATTGAGAAAGTATACTTCATAATTTATGGTCGTATCATTTGAAAGCAAACAATGATTAGTATGACTACTATAAGAGGTATTTTTGAGTATCATAACCTACTTGATGTTTGCTACTAACTTACCATTTTTAAGTATTTTATATGAATGATGCA